GTATGTGGTGCTGAGGATCGAACCCGGGCCGCACGCATGCCAGGCGAGCGCGCTACCACTTGAGCCACATCCCCAGCCCCTGTATTCATTTCTTGCTGGTTCAAATACAGACAAAACAAATATACAAATATCCTTGCTCATTGGTCTCTACATACAAATATGCGTTCAGACAAATTACACATTGCCTTTCCCAGATATTTTCATTTTATTATCATCTAATAACACATAAATGAATACTTTTCTTATTTCATGTGTGGTTATTTTTTAATGTCTAAAAATCATCTCTCTATTTTTTACTATGGTTTATCTATTTAATTCCTTTACCATTTTTGTGATAGGTTGGTAATCTTTTACTTATTTATAAAAACTTTACATGTTAACGAAATCAGTTCTCTATCTGTACTAGTTTCAGATAATTTTCCAGGTTTGTCATCTGTTTTCACATCCTGTGCATATAATATTTGTTCTTTTTTTAAAAATATTTTTTAGTTGCTGGTGGACCTTTATTTTCTTTAATTATTTATATGTGGTGCTGAGAATCAAACCCAGTGCCTCTAGGCAAGCACTCTACAAATGAACCACAACCTCAATCCTACACTTGTTCATATATATATATATATAGAGAGAGAGAGAGAGAGAGAGAGATGCTGTGCACACATTATGTATGTATATGTATATAAACATCGACTTTTGTGTGTTGTATTAATCTTATGAAAACATTTTCCCAGGTATTTTTATGGGTTCATTTCTTTATTTGTAAGTCTTTGATATGCCTGGAAATAATTTTGGTATAAGGAAGGAGGTAGAAATTTAAGATAATGGATTTCCATTTCACTTAACATTATGTATTTAATAATCTACTTTTGGCTCACTGCTAATTTACCATCTTTATTATAGTTTAAATTTCTATATTATTCTACTCTTATTAGTCTCTCATCTAATGACCTAGTTATGTGATGTTAAGATTTTTTGAAATCTAGCACAATTCCCCTTCTTATAATTTCTTTTCCTTGGTCATTCCTTTTTTTTTTTTTATATTTAGTTTTTAGTTGTAACTGGACACAATATCTTTATTTTATTTATTTATTTTTATGTGGTGCTGAGGATCGAATGCAGGGCCTCTCATGTGCTAGACGAGCACTCTGCCACTGAGCTACAACCCCAGCCCCTTCTTGATATTCATTTTTCCATACAGGAACTTTTTAATCAATTTTTCTAGTTCCAAATAAATACTGTGCAGTAGCCAGCCGCCAGACTCCAAGTTTAGGTCCCAGTATCTTAGCCTCTTGGTATTCACACCCTGAGACAAACCTTTCCTACCAGGTATAAGGGGCCTATGAGTTGGGTCTTTGTGACTGACAGAATACAGGGGAAACGATTAAGTATGACTTCTTAAAGTAAGTCATAAAAGCTATTGCACTATATTGAGGTCTGCAAGGTAAGGAAATGAAGGCTCCTATCAACTGCCAGCACCAACTTGCCAACCATGCGAGACAGACATCTTGGAACTGGAATCTCAAGCCCTATTTACTCCTGCAGATAACTAAGCCCTCCCTAGTCCAAATCTCTACTGTAACCTCATGAAGATCTGCAGATCTACCCAGCTAATCTGCTCCTGAGTTCCTAACAAAGAGAAACTGTAAGATAATGTTTTAAGCCACTAGATTTTGAAGTAATTTGTTATATTACAATAGATAACCAATACACTTTGTTCATGTGTATCAGAATTGTGTTAATTTCAAATCTCTGTTACAATAGGTCTTCCCATCCAAGTGTACAGAATACTATTTCATTTATATCTTCTGTGTATCTCTCAGTAGCATTTTAAAGATTTCTTTAAACATATAAGTTTATCATTTTGTTATTAAAATGGAATATTTTTTTCTAATATACATCCTAACAGGTTGTTGTTAGTACACACACAAGTACTTATTTTGTATTCAGTCACCTTTCTGAATTCTTTTAATTTGGTATAGATTTTCAGTTATCATTTTGAATTTCCAGGTATACAACCTTAGCCTCTATAATTAATGATACTTACACTTCCTCTTTTATATCTTATTTCTTTCTCAGATCTAATTTTGTTAGTATCTTAGGGTAATAATAAATACTAATGAGAATGTTTTGCCTTTAAACAAGATGATGGCTTTTAGCTTAAGAGAAAAAATACTAATGCTAAGAAATACTTGATTCCCATTTTATTAAAACTTTTGGTCAAAAAAAGGTCTGGGACTTGAATTTTATCCAATACCTTTTCAGCAAAAGTTGATCAAGTAACTTTTGTTCTTTGACATTTTAAAAAATATTTCTAGTTGTAGATGGATACAATATCTTTATTTAATTTTTTGTGGTGCTGAGGATCAAACCCAGTGCCTCACACATGCTAGGCAAGTGCTCCACCATGGGCTATACCCCAGACTTCCTTTGAAATTTTAACAACGTATATTACATTAATGGGTTTTTCTAACTGAAACATTCTTAAAATGATAAAGGCCTTTATAATATATTTACATATCATTCAAGCTTATTTATTATGAATTAATACATGCTCATTATACCAGTTAAAACAATAAAGCCATTATACTTACAAATAAATGACAGGAAAAAACTTAGCTTTTCCTTTGCTTGCTCTTCTCATATTTCAACAATATAAGCAACTTAATTTTTTTTATTATATCCTAAAGTTTATTCCAGAACTGTATAAAATTAGCTAACTCTAAAGTAGTTGTAATTCATCATCCCATCTAGATAAATTAATGAAAATCAAATCTTTAAACAGTTTAATACAATTTTGACTCACCTGTTGTATCTCAAAAGGATCATATGGCTCAGTGTTGACTTCTTGGTTTGTTATGTTCCAAGACACCTATGTTGCAAAATAAACAAATTTAATTTACCTCAATTGATATGGTAAAACAAATTTGCCATGTAATAACATTTTAAAACACACCCACAATTTTTCAAGGTTTTGGGTCCCCTTACCAATTAAGGTTATGTTTCATAAAATTAGTATAACTGAAAATGTCAGTTCATTACTCTTGTTTTTAAGTATTTTATTTGTAGATGGACACAATACAATGCCTTTATTTTTATGTGGTGCTGAGAATCGAACCCAGGTCCTGCCCATGCTAGGAAAGCGCTCTACTGCTGAGCCACAATCCCAGCCCCAAGTTCATTCCTCTTCATTATTATTTTTTTCAAAGTTCCCTAGAAAATTGAAAACTTCAGAAGAGGTGCAATTTGATAAGGATTTAATGTATTCACACCCTAGAAAGGAACACTGATTTATTTTCATGCTTGTTAGATAGGAATACTTAATTCCTCATTTCTCTCCACCTGATTTTTTTTTCCCCTCTCTTTATACTAGTGATCGAACCCAGGGATATTACCACTGAGATACGGTCTCACTAAGTTGCTAAGGCCAATCTCGACCTTCTGATATTATTCCTGCCTCAGCCTCTGGAGTCGCTGGATTATGGGTATGTTCCACTATGTCTTGCTACTTGTCTCTTTTTTAACTTTCCCAATACTCCAGACTCTTCCTTTTTTCTTTCCCAGGGAAGCTGCCAGCAAATTTTCCCTTCCTCCCCCATGCAATAGTCCTATGGGAAGATACCCTAAGTGGGGAGGCCTCCTATTTGGGTTCTGCTGGAACTGCTGGGTAAGTGGGTGAGATAAGGACTTTACTGTTTGCATATGTACTTCTCTACAGCAGTGGCCATATCCTCCTTTTGTGTCCTTATTAATTATGAAGGCAATATTTTGGCTCCATCTGCTGACTCATTAACCTTATTTCTTATTTGGAGTAAAATGTGGTCAGGGAAGAATAAGATTTACTGGGCCAAAACTTCTTTCTGACAAAATTACCCACCATGCCCCTCAAAAAAATTCATATTTTAAAAATATTTTCAGGCAAAAACTTCAGCAACCATTATAAAGCAAATAATTTCTAAGAACATTAGTAAATAAAACGGTGATTTAAAAAAAAAAAAGGAAAATACACCTTTCTCTTTAAATCTTACCTGTACAGCAACCATCTGTGTATGTGGAATATTTGTTAGGGCACTGGACCTTTCTGGACTGACTTCACATTTGTTTTTAGGGTTCCCACAGTGCCCATCATTTCTGTAAGACTCACTTGGGGCTGTACCAGCATCACCTAGGCTGCTCTGTGACTTTACATGTATTCCCAAAGAGTCCTCAAGGATCTGTGTTTCAGAGACAATCTGGTTACCAGCAGCACTCTTAGCATTTAAATTGTGATCCTCAAAATAGGCAGCAGTGTTTTTATCAGCTTTGTCACTGGCTACAAGAGATGGCACCACTGGTATTGATCTCTGCAGCTGATATTCAGAAGAAATGTTGGCCAAAGGTGTGTAGATGCTGGTGTACTGGGGCAAACTTGGTAACACGTTTATGTATGTTGGTGGTGTCTGGGTGATGTCAAATCCCTGAAAAGGAAGATATGTACAGTATCCTGTGACCAAGTGAGATTGAGTCCAATAGGTTGGTTTCCCATCCTCAGGAACTGGTTTGAGAGAATGAGAGGAGACTTGTTTGTGATTTATATCCTCAGAGACTGATATGGGAGAATCAGAAGAGACCCCTTGGGGTTTCTCATTCTCAGAAACTGGACTGGAATAATTATCAGGTACTGATTTGGGTGTAATGTCTTCACAAGTTGGTTTGGGAGAATCAGCAGACACAGGTTTGGGCTTCACATCCTCAGAAACTGGTGCTGAAGACAAATCAGACACTGGTTTGGACTTTACATCTGGTTTAAATTCCCTAGCAGTTGGATTCAGTGGTAGTTTGACTCGTAAATACTCTCCTGTTTTTGAAATTTCTTCCACTTTTGTTTTAATGTTTTTCTTCTTTCTTTTTTTCTTAAGTCGTAATGCAACTTTTTTTAATGCAATACAGTTGTCAATCACAACAAAACGAGGACATCCCAGGAGAAAAGATTTTAAACCTCCTGCTTTTTCTAGTATCTGTCGAGTTTCTTCTGGGAAAAACTCATATTCTTCAGAGAACATCTTGTTACTCATATCCAAGGGACCATGTTCCTCCAACAACTGAGAGAAATAACTTGGAAAAAATTTACATTTACATAAGTTACTAAGTGGAAGTACTTGCACATATTTATTTTTATAAAAGTTTATTCTCCCAAAGCAAAATACTATTTTACTTCTCACTGATCTCAAATGGTCTCCAAAGACAAATAAAAGGTTAAGTATAACCAATATTACAATAAATAAAACTGTCTACTCCTTAGAAAATAATCCTTTAAAGCTTTTTTTTGGAGGGAGGGAAAGCCAAAGGAAATCAAAAAGTTATTTTTAAATTTTAATTATATAATTATGCAATCTCTTTAAAAAGCAATGAGCAAGCAAAATTTATTCAGAAATACCATGGTCAATAACAAGAATGTCACAAGAGAAGAGAAAATAAAATCTTTAAAAATCCTATCTCAATTTACATACAGTGCAATGATTCACAAGAAAAAGGAAACTGCTCTTATAATTCAGCAATGAGGTACCAATCACAAAGGGGATGGACTCCGATCCAAGTAATAATTACCAAGTAGCTAGGAAGTCACAATTCTGAAGAATATGTAATTCTTCTCATGTAAGTTTGACTCAGTGATACTCTTTAATATTTGTTATGGGGAACAAAACTACATAGTCCAATGAATGTTTTAATTTTTTTAAAAAGAGTCTATATACCATTCTACTGTTGAAAAATACCCACCATATGTAATTAGGTAAAAAAAAAAAAGCAAATGACAAGCTAAGTAACTTAGGGCCTTCTAAGTTCCTGAGGCTGACCTCAAAACTTGCAATCCTCCTGCCTCAGCCTATGAGTTGCTGGGGTTATAGATGTGTGCCACTCTGTCTGGCTAGAAAAAAAATCTTCAAAGAAAAAAAAAAACAGTCCATGTTTTTTTCTAATGCTAAGCAGCAATGAATTTTTCATATATTCAAGCAGAACAAAATTTAATTCGACAAGGATTTTTAGCTCAAAGAGAAATGGTACTATAACCATACTATGAAGAACATTTTTATAGTTACTATTATTTGAAAAATACAAAATGAATTTTTACTCTATATTTAGACTTTTCTAGTCTTAGTATATACAGGGTCCAAAACAGCACAAATATGATTTTTTCATAATCTAGTGTTTTACAAGGGTTAGAATCAAATCTCAACAGTGCACATTAGTACTGGTGTGGCTGTTTAGTAAAGATGAAAGAAGTTATAATGAAAGATGCTAAATACACTGAGATGATGAGGCTCAAGATCATTTCAGTTTCTGCAGTTTAAGAGATTTCTCTTCTCTTTCAATATCTGGCCGCCCTCAAATACCTCAGACTCTAAAAGGAATAGTATTCCTATACCTAACCAGAGATGAAGTAGTAGACACACATATAAGAGTAAAAGATAATAATAAAGTCAATTACATCAGGGATATTAATAGTTGTTTTACATATATATATCTGCATGTTGCTCTGTGTATATACAACATTTCCATAATTTGATGATCATCACTATTATTAAGTGGTCAAAGAAGGACTTGCAGAATGCCAGGGCATGTCACCATCAGCACAGGGGAAAGGTCAAGGATGGGAAAGACATTTCCAAGGACATTCCCATTCTGCTATTCTGAGACTACCCTTTGAAAATCATGTTCATGATTCTTATTTCAAAACATCACCTTCATGTGTAATACACTGTAAAACTACCAACGATCACCTTGACTCTCCTCTATGCTGCAGGGCTACATGAGAGACCTCTGCCCTATACTTTCCTCAAATCTGCAACAGCACTTAACCTTATGTGGCTAATAAATCTCGGCTAACACTACTGAGGTGCTATTAGGAAACAATAAAGGCAAAGTACCTGTTTCAACTACATAAATCCTAAAATGTTACAAAGGGCCTTTAAAAAGAAATTAGGCTAAATTCCTATTTTAAGATGTTACACAATGGGGCTGGGGTTGTGGCTCAGCGGTAGAGCTCTCGTCTCGCACATGAGAAACCCTGGGTTCAATCCTCTACACCACATAAGAATAAATAAGTGAAATAAAGGTATTGTTTCCAACTACAAATTAAAAAATAAATATTAAAAAAAGATGTTACACTAAAGTCAAGAAAAGCTTAATTTATAAATAGTTACCCCATATTCTTGACTCCTTGTCCAATATTTTTCTACTCAACATTCTTTTCAGATATAAAAGTTTAATTTTAATTTCCTTTTATACTTAGCCAATAAAATAAGCCTTCATTTTTAAGCCATCATATGTTTACTTTTTTTAATTTGGTACCAGGGATTGAACTCAGGACGATTAACCATTGAGCCACATCCCAACCCTTTTTACTTTTTATTTTGAGACAGGGTCTCCCTAAGTTGCTCAGGGCTACACTAAGTTGCTGAGGCTGGCCTTGAACTTGCCATCCTCCTGCCTCAGCCTCCTGAACCTCCAGAATGTTAGCTGTGCACCACCACAACCAGTTTACTTTAGAAATTTCAAGAATTAGGTTTTAAGACATACCTTCCTATAACTTCTACGTTTTCTACTATGATAAGATATAAATTTTATCTCAAAAATAAAAAAAACAAATCAGTCTACTTTTTTCTCATAAATCTGTTTAATTTCTTCCCACTTCAGTGGCAATAAATTCTTTAAGATAAAAGCTACTAAAAATTACATATTTTAGCTTCAGTTTTGGATGCTTGAAGCAAATTCCAAGATATTTTAAGAATACCAGTGTAATTTTATAGGTAAATATTTTGTCATCTGGGAGTCCTATGGAAATATGATTTGCTCAGTATTTCAATTCTAAGGAAAAATCACAAAAACGAAACCTAATTTTAACTAGACTGAATGGCAATAATGGGTTGAAGAAAAAAGAAGAAATGACCATACTATGAATGAGTGACAGAATTTTCAGGAAAATAGTTAGTTTTAAAATTAATTTCTTAATAGAGATCCTAACCCTCAATTTCTTAAACAAAGCCTTGTGTACTGCTTATTAATACCAATCTCAGAATGGTAAGCGGTTCCCTAGATTTTATCCACCCTACTCAAACTTCAATTGTTAAATTTTGCATTCATATTTTCAATCCTAAAGTAACTCACACCCAGTCACTTAAAAAGGAAAGTATGTTGGGGCTGAGGGTGTGGCTCAGCAATACCATACTTGCCTGATATGTGAGGCGCTGGATTCGATTCTCAGCACCGCATATAAATAAATAAAAGTCTATCAACAACTAAAAAATATTTTTTTTTAAAAAAAGGAAAGTATGATTCTCTTTTACATCATTTTCAGGAAGTCCAGTCTCTAATAGAATACAGGATTCTGTATTTGTACTATTAACATAGCTGAACAATTATAATCCAAGCTGAAGTACTAATAGCATCCTAGGATTCTTTCCCCCAATAAAAAGGGTAATACTTCACCAAGCTACATAATTGAGATGCCAATTGAGATGCTGCATTTTGAGATGCCAAGCCACTGCATCCTTCAACATAAGAACAATGAGACCAAATAATCATATTATTCTGTCAAATGAATACCTAGGAATTCATGATAAAAATATTATAGCTGAAAGCTTTGTTTATCGTTTCTATCAAGACATACCAGAACAATTTTAGAAGTATCTATATTAGCAGCTCAAACTGTCAAAACCAAAGATTAGTATGACCCTAAATTTACTACATGTAAAATCCTCAATTAACTACATGTAATATGTGGCAAATGTTCTCAGAATATTCTTCCCCAGAGATTGTGAACCAATAAATGAGTACTGTAAAAAAAATGACTTTTGGTTTTTAATTGGCAATCTTAGTATAAGGAATATTAGTTGTAGGAATATTAATCTACTTACTCATACAGAGTTGAGCATTTTTGTTTTGGGTTAATATCCCATATTTTCTTATTGCGAACAACATATTCATTACTGTGCTGGTCATAGAGAGCTTCAAATTCTTCTACATCTTGCCGAAGATGGTTAGGCACAGCAAATGGGCCTGCAGAATCTGAATTGCGTCTTCTGATTAAAAAAATAATTTTGTTAATAAACTTTTGGATAGGCTAGATGAACATTTAATGGAAAAAAAACAACATGATGGTAACGAACATACGACTTGATTTTATGTGGAAGGAAAGTACTACCAGAGAGCTTAGTGTGGTAAAGATACCCTTCATAATTATAGTCAAGAAACATTATATCTGACATTCTAAGTAAGCACTTTTAATTTAGCCCTAAACCAAGCACATTTTCCCACAGCTCCAGTTTAAAAAAAAATCAATATTGTATTAATTGTAACTTGTTAAAGGGTTGAGAGACAAATGAAGATCTTATAATTGCTATTAATTTAAGTGATATTGAGACTGGTAAAAAACTACTAATAAAAAGATTTTTTTAAAAAAAGAATATGATGGCTAGGGTTGTGGCTCAGAGGTAGAGTGCTTGCCTAGCATGCGTGAGGCACTGGGTTTGATCCTCAGCACCACATAAAGTAAAAAATAAAGACACTGTATACACCTATAATTAAAAATAAATAAATAAATATTAAAAAAAAAGAATATGAGATTTTAGTACTTTCAAAAGATACAGTAGATTGAGTGTGGAACCTAAACCAGATAGTATGGTTTAAATCCTGGCTCTGCTATTTATATAAGCCTTGTGCCTGGAGCAAGTCATTCAACTACAACTGCCTGAGTTTCTTTATTTATACTATGGACACAATATCAGTACTTATATCCTAGAGTGAAGGAATGGATTAAATTAATTTATATATGTAAATGCCTTAGAGTAGTGCCTCATACATATTTGTTCATTTCAATTAAGACTGTTATATGATGATCTGTATGTCTGCGTTCCCCAAAAACTCATAGGTCATGAGGGCAAAGACATGATGAATGGGATCTGTACCTTTACAAAAGTATCTTTAGAAAGCTGCCTTATGTTTATGGTTTAGACATGATGTGTCCCACAAAATCTCACATGTGAGACAATGCAAGAAAGTTTTGAGGTAAAATGATTGGGGTCTGAGAGCCTTACTGCTTTCCTCTACCACCTCCTTCCACCATGATGTGCTGCCTCTGGTACAGAACAATGAAGCTGATGTCAATGGACTGAGACCTCTGAAACCATGACCCCCAAATAAACTTTTCCTCCTTTAAAATTGTTCTTGTTAGATCTTTTGGTCACAGCAGCAAAAATGCTGACTAAAACACTTGTCCATGTATCATGTGAGAAAAAAGTGAGAAGGTACCATCTATGAACCAGACCCTCATGAGACACCAGATATATGTCAGCTCTTTGATCCTGAACTTCTTAGCCTAAAGAACTGAGAAAAGCCAAATTGTGAAAAGTAAATTTCTGTTGTTTGTAAGCCCCTCAGTTTATGATATATTGTTCTGGTAGCCCAAATGGACAAAGACTGGATCTTAATTCCTCTACTTAGAGAATTCATAAAAATGAGTGCATTTTTTTTTTAAGAGAGAGAGAGAGAGAGAGAGAGAGAGAGAGAGAGAGAGAGAGAATTTTTTAATATTTATTTTTTAGTTTTCGGTGGACACAAAATCTTTATTTTATTTTTTATGTGGTGCTGAGGACCGAACCAAGCGCCCCATGCATGCCAGGCAAGCGTGTTACTGCTTGAGCCACATCCCCAGCCCCAATGAGTGCAAATTTTAACTGGTTTTTTTTTTTTTTTTGGGTGCTAGGGATCGAACCCAGGGCCTTGTGCATGCAAGGCAAGCACTCTACCAACTGAGCTATATCCCCAGCCCCTGTTCTTCTTCTACTTTTTTTTTTTAATATTTTTTTTAGTTGTAGATAGACACAATACCTTTATTTATTTTTATGTGGTGCTGAGGATTGAACCCTGTGCCTCACAAATTTGAGGCAAGTACTCTACCACTGAGCCACAACCCCAGCCCAAATTTTAACTGTTCTTAAACTCCCTAAGAAATGTGAGCTTCTTTGTTTGGGATTATCAGTTTCTTTAAAAGATAGTTTCAACAATCAGAGGCATGAAAAATCTATATAAAGTTAAACCATAACATCATATATACTTCCAAAATAGCTTCTTTCTCCTATTATAGTAGCATTAGTTAATTATCAATAGGACATTCTCTTTACTGAATACTTTAAAGGACATTTTCTAGACATTTTTCTAGGGATTTCCCATAGTGCCCTGAACACAGTGCATCCTCAATATATGCTTACTGAATAAATCACCATTCCTGAGACTTTAACTCATAATGAATTCTTAATGACAAGCCATGCTATTAATTCAATTGAGATATATTATATCAGGTTGTCAATATGTAAATCTTTAAAAATGAAAGGGAAATAAAACACAAGTTTAGAGTACATTAAATTAACATGCCTTATCAAGTGAAAAACATGTGAGTTATAATGAGGCAAAAATTTTAACAATCATACTTACTTATAATCTTCACCTGAACTGATAGTCTCATTATTTGGTGTTACTGTAGTTGTTCCAGACCCAACTAACATTGGCTGGTTTAAAAGAAAAAAAAAAAAAAATGACAATGACATCTATTTAAAAGTCTATGAAAGAAAAACATTATCATTAAAATTTATAAACATTTATATAATATTTAAGACCTATTTTTAATATTTAAAACAATATTTAAAACAATATGTAAAACCTATCCAAATTTTCTTATAAATAGGAACACACAGTAATATAAGTTTCAATGGCCAGAAATAAATTCAAATTAACATTTGGGATAGTTTCCAGTGCTCCAAAAAACTTTAAATGTCACTTAAATTTCCATATTAGTTAAAGACACATGGTCAAAGGTACAAGGAAGCTTATACTGGAATTCCAAGCTGCATCTTATACTGGAATACTGCATCCTCCTCTAACACTTGCTCATTCTCTCTACCCCTGTTCCTCTTTTGCCCCCAAGACATGCTGAAACCAAGAGGAATGCACTATGATGCTGAAATAATGAGAATAGAGCCTTAGGTGAAAAGGAAAAGTTCCCATCAATTCTAAGACTGATATGATGACTAGAATTCATCATTCTTATTTGAATATTTTAGATAATAAATATTTAAATAAATAATTCCAACAAGAGCTTTTGAATACTAGAAACTAATATCTTATCTGCTCTTATATGAGATATAGAAACCAATATCTTATATATTCTTATCTCTCCCTAAAATTCAGCACAGAAATAATAATAAATAATTATTAAAGATTTACTACCCAATAAGCAAAGGTTATTATAATAGGCACAGGAAAGTCAAATAACTTGCTCAAGGTCACAGAAAATAATTGGTAGAACCAAGATAGGAACTCTACCCTATGGCTATCCATAATAGAGTACTACATTATATTTTTACTCAGAAATATCTAGAAAATATAAATAACTATAAAGATTAAGAGTTTCTTTCAAGAGTTATTTATGTGCAACATGAACCTTAAATTTCCTCAAAATGTAGAAGACTGCCAAAATAGACTAAACCCTTGAAAGTCTTTCTCTACAAAATGCTTCAAAATACTGCAAGAATTGCTTATTTCTAACTTATATATCCATTTTTGAGAGTCTGGGCAGGAATTAATTCAGATAATATTCCATACCTTTGTGTCTTTTGGCTTCTTTTTCTTGCCTTTGTTTTTAACCTTGGTAGAACTAAACTGAAAAATGGGGGGGGGGGAACAAAACAAAACAATGAACACTCAAATAACAGCATTACGTAAGTCAACATAAACAAACCATATTAAGTTTCACAGACTAATCATCAGTTATATGTATATAAAATGTTGTGTATCAGCCCAAGTGCTATGGCTTATAATAAAAAAGAAGAAAAGGCTCAATAATGCCAAATGTTATGATTAAAATTAAATTGTCCTAACATTTTAATCTCATTTTCAACAGGGCTTATGTTATTCTAAATAATTAACTAAACTTTTAAGTAATTCTGATTATGTGCTATAATAGCATTTAATGATATCCCTTTTACTAAGCAAACAGATGTTCCACACCCAGCCAGATAATGGGGCACAAAGAGTGAAAGGAGCAGTATTAATTTCTCTATATGGGTATGTTAGCTGTACTTCCATACTTAGCAGGGCAAAATCTGATAGAGCAGAGTAAGACAGAATTCCATATATTTGATCCTGAAAACTGATAAACAAGTATGTTTCTCTTTGAAAACTGCCACAGTGCTATCCTTTTCATTATTTAATCATGTTCCTCAAATGAAGAATTTCTGGCCTGCCAGAAAGAATAAAAGACAAGTTGTCAAGGAAAATAACTCTTGAATTACTCTTAAGTTAAACTCATGTTGGAGCTAAGTGTAACAAAGTCCCTTTATTTTCCTTTAGCACAAAAATACCACAATTTTTTTCTCAACTAAAGAACTTTTCCTTTTCTCCTTCTTATATTAACATTTATTAGTTGTAAAACTTTATGGAAAGTATTTAACTTAAGCCTCAGAGTTTGCTAAGGAATGCCCCATTCCTAAGAGGATGAGTGGAAATAACTTTCTAATGAAATGGCATACATATTCAGAAATCCTCTCAATTTGGTTCTGAAATGCTACCTGTGATGTAAGCAAATACTAGCCTCCTTATTCCTCTTCTCCTTTGGCTAATGCAAATTAGAACATATGATTTAAAGTGGTCAAGTAGCTTACCGGAGCTTCACCACTATCTTGTTTCCTTAATACAGTACAGCGGCTGTCTGTAGAAGAAACAGAAGGTTCTATGAGGAAACTAAATATTTACATTACCATATAATATACTGAAGTCTTAAAACTACCTCAAGACCACTATCACAGACTACATTCTATTCCTTATTTGGCTCTGATAAACGTTTAGTTTAAAAACCAAGGGTAGTAATGTAGTGGGTCAGGTGGCTCACTCTTATAATCCTAGTTATTAGGGAGGCTGAGGCAGAAGAATCACAAGTTAAAGGCTAGGGCAACTTAGTGAGACCCTATCTCAAAATTTTAAAAAAAGGGGTTGTAGGTGTAGCTCAGTGATTGAGGAACTGCCTAACATATGCAGGGTTTGGGGTTCAATCCCTGGCACTGCAAACAAAACAAATCCAAGGGCAAAATGACTAACTAAACATAATGTTACAGGTATGACAAATAAGATGTCAAAAAACCTGATGAAATAATAGTCTTCAGTCAAGAGGCCCAAGGGGAGTTAGAGAGGGCTTTGGGGAAGAGAAGAAACTTAAGTTAGACTTGGAATAAACAGGCAAAGGGAAAGCTGTTGCTAGAGCTGCATAAGCAATGGCAAGAGGCATGAAAGCACAAGCATCACCGGGCATCTCAAGACCATTACCATTGCTCCAATGACACTCCATGCCCCTAACATGCCCCCGACATGCCCCTAATAAGTCCAGAAGCTGCCCCTTCCCATCAGGAAGAAGCTGTAGAAGATTTATCTACAACCCTGTCCCTTAAGGGGCCCAATAACAAACAAAAAAGTGTGTGTGGGAGAATGTAAGGTCCTTGCTTAGCATCTGGGTAGCCATCCTGAGTGATAGCTGCCATTTTCCTGCCCAAAGGCCTTTCTGGGAAAGGCTCACCACTCCCTCATATCAACCCAAAGCTTCACTGCCCCGAATTGTTTCCCTGCCCTTATGAACCCCACCCTTAACTGCCCACATCAGGAACCACCTGGCTCTAATCCCTGAGCCTCCCCCAGAAAAGTCTTGAACCCCAAGCCTGTGTTGCCTATCTCTGTCTATGGAGAGATGGCCTTTATTTTTCGGCTCCACCAAACACTCTTCTGTGTGTATCTCTGCCTTGTCGCCTTCTTTCATTTCTCACTCTCCCATCTCCCTGTTCTTAGCTTTCCTTCCAGTCACTAATAAAAGTTTAGGAAAAACAGGTCTTTGAGATGTGGTAAGTGGGTTTAGTCATGTTGCTTTGCAAGGGCCTTTAGCTGACTACACAGAAATTGTCTAGGAAAACATGCATCCAGATTTCAGAAGTGAAACTTGAGTCCCAATAATCATGTCATTGGTGGAATTATTGAATACCCTGATATAAAAGATCAGTGGATTTTGAAAAGTTAATACTATTCTTCTTTTAAATAATAAGACATAATACTCAAAATGTCTGGGGTGAGGGTGGGAGACAGAGCTACTAGAGTTGAAAATCTGTTGAGATCACCATAAATTTGACTGGTAGCTTCTGACTCCATGGATGACAGCAGTGAAACTGGCAGCCAGATGTTCTGAGTATTTTAGGTATAGAACATAAGAACTGGGAAGAGTAGTCACTAAGAGAAAACAGTCTTTTGTAGTGGTCCTGTTGTGTGACTCAACATATACTGGGTTTTGTAGGCTCAGTTTCAGGATAAAATTTATTACCAACAGCAATAACTGATGGCACTAAATTCAGGCTATCAAGTAGCATGTCACCTCCAATTAGAAAACAGTATCCTGGAAAGACAAAGCCATCTATATGCAAATGTTCATTTTGCTAAGAACCAAAACAAAAGCAAGCTTTTCAGTTTTTTATACTGCATTTGAACTTTATAATGTGTGCCACTGTTATACAAGGTCAGATTTTTAAATCAAATGGCATGAAATTTGAATCTAACTTCTAACAATATACAGAGGAGACTGATAAGGAAAAAAGGAGAGAAGACTATTAGGGTGCACACACAGAATGAAAGATAAAAAAATTAAAAATTAAGTTAGAATCTAAGGATATTAGAATTTTGAAGTAAAACAGGGTCAGAGATCACTGGCTCCAAATCATTTCATTTTTTTTAAGGATAAGGAAACTAAAATCCAAGAGAAGCCTAAGAAATTAACTGCTAATTAGTCTACTGTGTCAAACTGGACTCCATGCAGTTATCCAAACAGGCCTCTCAGCTCCCCTCTAAAGCCACCTCTCTAAGGCCCAACTTCCACCTGTCCAATTCTACTTCCATTTTTACAGGCTTTCATAGGCCATCTCAAGATTCTATCCCTGCTCCACAGCTTTCCTCTAACAGGGAGAACCCAGTGCTGGGTTTTTCCTCCAAAGCCCTCAGCACTTTCATGCTCTCTCATCAATCATCTTTTCCAAGTGAACTGATTGTACTATAATCATTTTCACATTAAGTATTTAAATGAGCAGCTCCTTTGCAGATATTTTCTTTAAGATTAAATACAATATAAATCCAAGCTTGGTCCACATACCCATTATATCAAAGAATTCATCTAAAGCACTATGCAATGCTGGGAACTTGTCTCTGTGTTCTTCCAACAGCCATATTAAACAACGTGCTTCTTTTAATGACGCTGGTTCACAGAAGTAATCAAGTTGCTTTCCTTCTATAGAGGCTAGTTTATGGCCATATTTCTCACTCCAGAGGAACGTCATGATGCTAAAATCAAGCTCCTTAAGAGATGCTCCATATCGAGAAAAAAAAGGTCCCGTGGCATCTAAGCCTACAATGAAAACAAAATACAAATCACAAATGGGAAAAAATTTTTACTGTAAAATTTTTCACATCTTTGAAAATGATTCCATTATAGTTTGCTTATATTTTCAGTGAAAATGTTCCAATACTTGAAAACAGACTTGTTTTGAGTTATTATGCATTTGTAGAAACACACAGAACACTAATATACTAAAATGCAATAATTTTCAGTATGGTAAGCCAAAGACTTCTATGGTTACAAATATCTTTTTTGCACTTAGGAGATGACAAAATGACATTAAATTGCTTAAGAAAAATACTATGTTTTTGACTAATGTATAATAACTTTTCATTCTAACTGATAAACTAGTAAGATTTTATAATGTCTTTTTATGTATATTCCATAGCAACCAAACATCAATAACATGCAAAATTTTGCCTAACTGCCTTTAATTCTTCCTACAATACCTCGAAGAACTGCTCCTTATCTTCCAAAATATCATGGTTCCTCATCATGATACAAAAATCAAGGTGGTCACTATTCCTGTTTTCTTTTTTAATATTTTTAGTTGTAGATGTACACATAACTTTATTTTATTTTTTTACATGGTGGTGAGGATTGAATCCAGGGCCTCAAACATGCAAGGCAAATGCTCTACCCCTTGAGCCACAACCCCAGCCCATTATTCCTGTTTTTACTCCCTGTTCTCCACATCAGAAAATAGGGTGGCTGCAACCTCATAAATTCTCACTGAAAGGATGGTGAATCTTCGTTCCTTCCTAACACAGCCACCAAAAAGCAAAGAGGAAATTCACACAAATTCCTCATCATACCTCTAAATACAGCACTGTCAACCATGCATGGGCCTGAAGTTCTCAAATCAGTAAATGGAGCAGCGATTACTAAAGTCAAAATTACCCTGGATTGCTCACTGCTATTTCTTTCAGATGAAATAGCTTACAAAGGACATGCTGCATGAGAAATTAGCATAAAACACCAGAATAGGTGGCCACATAAAATATTCATAGAACAAAATGTCCAAAGAAACCTCCAGTTAAGAAATACATTCACCTTCCCTATCCAATCTCATGTGCAGGCATGTGCTCCAGGAAGGGGGTGTAGGCCAACCATATTACTACTAAAACTAATATTCTCCTACTTGTGCTCTGCTATTCTTTCTCCCTCCATCTTTTGCTGAACATATAAACTGGCCTCTCTTGTGTCAAATATTCACGATGTGACTCCTGGAATTGGAAATTGCTTGCTTTAATTAAATGTATGTGAGTTTACATCAGGGCTATAGTAACATCTTTACTAATTAACAACCTTGAGCTAATTTTATACTTTAGTATATATACAAACTTATTAAAGTGATACCTTTACTTCTCAGAATATACATGGGTTATATCATAAGACATAGTCATATTTTCCTGCCAGTCAGCTGCAAGACTGCATTTACCTGAATAAACACTGACTGGCATTCTTCCAATGTAGTCTAACCTATAAGGCCCACTTCTCCAGTTGTGACTCTATCCTCTACGGAAGATTAAAGTGTTAAGTGAGAACTTATGAATTTACTTTTCTATTGGACATTATCGGCAATCTTATCACTTAAGAGTGATTTTCTGAGACCAGAAACTTATTAAGACCTATGCTCAGAGCAGGAATATTAAGCTAATTATGCCAAACTTGCTGCCATCTGACTTTCTCTCTACCAACAGAAACTGACCAAAATCTTCTTTGAAACCCTTAAATTCTACTAACTGCATTTCTGTAAAAACTCAAAAAGGTGAGGGTAGCTGGTAGAAGCTGGGCAGGTGCTATTCTTGGGTCTGAGAGCACTGCTCTCTTTCCTGTGGCCTCCCTTAGACTTTTATCAACAGCTGCCAGCTGAATCAACAATCATGCTAGCCCAGTTGCCATAATATATAGCATCTTGGAAGGTACCCAAAGCATCCCTACTCAAGTTAGAGAGCTACCATACCTGAGGGCTCATTCTGCAGTCCTGCATGGCCTTGGGCAAGAAGCCTGAATGGGAGGTAGGGGATGTCTTCCACATCCTTCCCTTGTGATTCAAAACCACCTATTTGAACCCCAGGGTACATTTCTTCTCATCCTTCTACATAGATTTGCCTGAGGTGCTCCTAAACAATGAGTCCCATCTGCTTGTCCTAATTTTTCTTCACAGAATCTTAATCTTTCTCAACAAGGCTATTGAGCTGCACAATCCCAGAAGGTACTCAAACCTAGGTTCCAGGGTGTGTTGGTTACACAGGGTAGTGTCTAGTACTCACAAATGTTTAGAATAATACAAGTCTAGATTTCCCTACTGACTGATTTTTATTTTGTTTAGATCTTTTTAAAAAACATACCGTTCCCTTCTATAGAATAACCTAAAAATTATGAGTGGATGGTAGTATTTATCACCATACACGTATATTCCACAAATATCATAAACGATAAGATAGGAAGATAAAAAGAAATCAGAGACCTACATTTATCCTTCCTACCAGACTAGAATATAAAGGGACATACCAAAGCTATTGAGTTTCTGGATCCAGGTAGCTAATTTGGGTTCCACTTCTTTAAGCTCACTCAAAACATGAAGAAATACCCTTGTCTTTACTCTATTCTTTTCTTGAATCAAGTGACGAATGACATAGTCCACTGCTTCATTGAGGAAATTTCTGCTAGAAAAACACGTTGTATAGTCTTCTGTGCTCAGAACTTTCCAAGAGAGCAATTCTTTGAGAAGCTTGGAAGGGTTCAGTATACCCGATTTAATCTTGTCAGCATACTGCTTTATGCACTGCAGAATTCTGTCATCAATGAACTGACAATTCTGACTACTGTCTACAGTTTCTAGGAATAAATAACAAAGGTTAAAGTGATAAATTACACTAATTTACAATGGCATAACTTAGAAAGAAATAACGTAACATTATATTATATCATAAGATACAATTAAGATTGATTGCTTTATTTTACATAGACAACTCAAGAAACTTTAAATTAGGAATATAAATATTTAACAATATGTCTATATTCTTTTCATTTCACACCATTCATGTAATAGCATCTAAAATTTTATTTCCTCTAAAATAGTTTTTTTCCCTCAACAATCCCAACCCAATCTCATCACCTCCAAAATATTTTTAGTTCTTAAACATGCAAA